CACCCACTCTCTCATTTGCTCTCTTTTTACATTGCTTCACCACTCTCTTAACCTCTCTCTTTTTCTCCATATACTCTTCCCTCCTTGCATCACTTCTACTTTGTAAAAACTTCTCATATGCTAACTTTTTCTCCCTTACTACTCTCTTTACATCATCATTCCACCAATCGCTCCTCTTCCCTCCTGCACCCACTTTCCTGTAACCACAAACTTCTGCTGAACACTCTAACACTACATTTTTAAACCTACCCCATACCTCTTCGACCCCATTGCCTATGCTCTCATTAGCCCATCTATCCTCCAATAGCTGTTTATATCTTACCCTAACTGCCTCCTCTTTTAGTTTATAAACCTTCACCTCTCTCTTCCCTGATGCTTCTATTCTCCTTGTATCCCATCTACCTTTTACTCTCAGTGTAGCTACAACTAGAAAGTGATCTGATATATCTGTGGCCCCTCTATAAACATGTACATCCTGAAGTCTACTCAACAGTCTTTTATCTACCAATACATAATCCAACAAACTACTGTCATTTCGCCCTACATCATATCGTGTATACTTATTTATCCTCTTTTTCTTAAAATATGTATTACCTATAACTAAACCCCTTTCTATACAAAGTTCAATCAAAGGGCTCCCATTATCATTTACACCTGGCACCCCAAACTTACCTACCACACCCTCTCTAAAAGTTTCTCCTACTTCAGCATTCAGGTCCCCTACCACAATTACTCTCTCACTTGGTTCAAAGGCTCCTATACATTCACTTAACATCTCCCAAAATCTCTCTCTCCTCTGCATTCCTCTCTTCTCCAGGTGCATACACGCTTATTATGACCCACTTCTCGCATCCAACCTTTACTTTAATCCACATAATTCTTGAATTTACACATTCATATTCTCTTTTCTCCTTCCATAACTGATCATTTAACATTACTGCTACCCCTTCCTTTGCTCTAACTCTCTCAGATACTCCAGATTTAATCCCATTTATTTCCCCCCACTGAAACTCTCCTACCCCTTCAGCTTTGTTTCGCTTAGAGCCAGGACATCCAACTTCTTTTCATTCATAACATCAGCAATCATCTGTTTCTTGTCATCCGCACTACATCCACGCACATTTAAGCATCCCAGTTTTATAAAGTTTTTTCTTCTCTTTTTTAGTAAATGTATACAGGAGAAGGGGTTACTAGCCCATTGCTCCCGGCATTTTAGTCGCCTCATACGACACGCATGGCTTACGGAGGAAAGATTCTTTTCCACTTCCCCATGGACAATAGAAGAAATAAAAAAGAACAAGAGCTATTTAGAAAAAGGAGAAAAACCTAGATGTATGTATATATATATATGCATGTGCGTGTCTGTGAAGTGTGACCAAAGTGTAAGTAGGAGTAGCAAGATATCCCTGTTATCTAGCGTGTTTATGAGACAGAAAAAGAAACCAGCAATCCTACCATCATGCAAAACAGTTACAGGTTTTTGTTTCACAGTCATCTGGCAGGACGGTAGTACTTCCCTGGGTGGTTGCTGTCTACCAACCTACTACTACTTTTGATTATACTACTAATAATAATAATGGTAGATGGATCTACAACTTCGTGACAAATAGAACACAGAGTAATAGTAAATAAAGTCCCAGGCAGCCACGGTAAAAAGCTCTGTTCCTCAAGGCACAGTATTCGCTCCCATTCTATTCCTCATCCTCATTTCTGACATAGACAGAGATGTAAGCCATAGCTCCGGATGACACCCGGATCATCATGGCAGTGACCTTCATCGAAGACACCGCGAGACTCCAAGCGGACATCAACCAAATCTTCGAATGGGCCACTCAGAATAATATGAAGTTCAACGAGGAGAAATTTCAACTACTCAGATATGGAAAACTTGAAGAAATTAAAACAAATGTCAGGGCATACCACAAATTTTAACCATACAATAGAGCGGAAAAGTAATGTGAAGGACCTGGGAGTGATAATGTCAGAGGATCTCGCGTTCAAAGACCACAACAATGTATCTACCTCATCCGCTAGGAAAATGATAGGATGGATAGAGAACCTTCAAAACTAGGGATGCCAAGCCCATGATTCTCTTCAAATCGCTTGTGCTCTCTAGGCTGGAATGCAGCGTTGTTTAGCCCTTGTGGTTTAGCGCTTCTTTTTTATTATAATCTAGGCTGGAATACTGCTGTACACTAACGGCCCCCTTCAAGGCTGGCAACACTGCAGACCTGGAGAGTGTACAAAGAACTTTCACGGCACACACAGGTGCGATAAGGCACCTAATCTACTGGGAACGGTTGAAGGTCCTTGATCTGTATTCCCTCGAACGCAGGCGAGAGAGAGACATGATAATATACACTTGGAAGGTCCTGGAGGGATTGGTACCAAACCTGCACACGAGAATCACTCCATATGAAAGCAAAAGACTCGGAAGGAGATGCAACATTCCCCCGATGAAAAGCAGGGGCGCCACGAGTACACTGAGGGACAACACAAGTGTCCGGCGCCCAAGACTGTTCAGTTGCCTCCCAGCATACATAAGGGGGATTACCAATAGACCCCTGACTGTCTTCAAGAAGGCACTGGGCAGGCACCTAAAGTCAGTACCTGACCAACCGGGCTGTGGTTCATACGTCAGCTTGAGTGTGGCAGGAGTAACAGCCTGGTTGATCAGACCCTGATCCACCACGAGGCCTGGTCTCAGACCGGGCCGCGGGGGCCTTGACCCCCGAAACCCTCTAGGTAAACTCCAGGTAAACCTCTGCTGCTGCTCTCTCTCTCTCTCCCCATCTCTTAATTTTTGTCTGTTGGGTCCTCTGTCGAAGCTACTCTTGGCCCCTGAGTGGACCTAGAGGTCATTCCGGGGATTAATGCCCCTGCAGCCATGTCCCCAACTAGGCTTCCCGGTGAATCAGGACCTGATCAACCAGGCTGTTACTACTGGCTGGACGCAGTCCAACGTATGAACCACAACCCGGCTGATCGGGTACTGAATTGAGATATCTGCCCGGTTCCATTTTGAAGACAGCTAGGAGTCTGTTGGTAATTTCCTTTATGTATGATGGGAGGCTGTTGATCAGTCTTGGGGCCCCGCACAGTTTTCTCTTAATGTACTCATGGCACCCTAGCTTTTCACTGGGGGTTTGTTGCACCGTCTGTCTAATATCTTCTGTTTTCGTAAGGAGTCTACAGTATGGGTGCCAGATCTATTGCTCGGCCATCTCTTCCCTGCCACACTTGAAAAAATCCTGTTCCATTACAGGCTAGAGTATAGTTGCCAGATTTACTCGGCGAGCTCTTCCCTGCAAAATCCTGTTCATCACTTAGGTATATGCCTTTGCATGGGAGTATTCCGCACTTCAAGAGCCTTTGTGTAATTGCTTTCTCCAGATCTCGGTGACAAGCCAGGCATGCGCTACCTGTCCTGGGGAAGTAGAACTAAATAAACTCCCTGTAAAACTATAAACTCCCGGCAAAACTAGGCAGGACGTGGGTGTTTGGCCCTCTCCTTCAGCAGGAATGAGCTATAGTATACTGGAGTTAGGTGCAAGTATCTCCCGACAGGTGTCGGGAGATGCTTGCCTTTCCTGACAAACGTAATTAAATTACAAATGTCTGTAACTTGGCATATTAGCTAAGTGGTAGAGCTTTCGGTTGAGAACCGAAAGGTCTTGGATACATTGTTGGGGAGAGATGTGTGGGTAAGTCTCAACACCTGCTGCCCTTCTTCATCTAGCAGTAGATAAGCATTCAGGAGTTCGGTTACTCTTTTGGGACGTATTATGGGAAGAGCACCTAAAAGAAATAGCCACACTGACCTTGTATTATCAGTCCTCCAGGGTTGTTAAGTTGAATTTTTCTATATACATAAAAGCTAAGCGATATGTATATATATATATATATATATATATATATATATATATATATATATATATATATATATATATATATATATATATATATATATATATATATATATATATAAAATATACTTTTCGGTGTATGGCTCGGTTGGTAGCGCACTCAGCTCGCACACTGAGGTCCATGGTTCAATTCTCGGTATGGGTGGAAACATTAGGGTATAATTGCTTAGAGACACCTGCTTTCCCTGTTCACCTAGCAGTAAACAGGTACCTGAGTTTTAGCAGACTGTCGTGGGTCGCATCCTGGGGACAACATTAACATAATTTGCCCAAAATGCTATGAATAACAAGGGGCTTTCTATATAGTGTGTCTATAGTGTCATCTTGGCCTGTATGAGGTGTATCGTGTACTTTTAAGAATGAAGATTATTATTATTATTGTTATCACTGAATTTGACTTTGTGAACCCAAGAACATGTTATGATACAAAATATGATGTGTGAGGTGATATGTCTTAGGTAATATATTTGTTTTCCTTTAAGATCAAACAGGTAAATTGTTTCTACCTGGAGGTTATTCCGGGGATCAACGCCCCCGCGGCCCGGGTCACGACCAGGGTCTGATCAACTAGGCTGTTACTGCTGGCCGCAAGCAGTCCAACGTACGAACCACAGCCCGGCTGATCCGTCACTGACTTTAGGTATCTGTCCAGCTCTCTCTTGAAGGCAGCCAGGGGTTTATTGGTAATTTCCCTTATCCTTGGCGGGAGGCTGTTGAACAGTCTTGGGCCCCGAACACTTGTGGTGTTTTCTTTGTGTACCAATGGCGCCCCTACTTTTAATTGGGGGTATTTTGCATCCCCTGCCCAGTCTTTTTCGTTGTAAGTGTAATAGTTTTTACAAGGTTAACTTTCTAAGTTACAATGTAAAATGAAAAACTATTCCAAACATTTCCATAATCATAAGTATCTAGGTGAGTACAAATAGGATGCCCGTCTGTCTCGAGCTCAGCAGACGGAGGATCGAGCCTCCACCAGTCATGCGCTGAATGACCCACATGGGTTTAGCGTTTAACATGAATTATTACATTATCCATAATCATAACTCCTTTCACTTTAGGATAGACTGAAGTTGATTGAAATTCAAAAGGTTTATTTTGAAAAAAAAAAACAATAAATTACAGTAAACAATTAATTTCATTGAAACGTGACCTAACAGGAAACGTCGTGGGTTGGTAAGTTTTAACGAGAATGATAGTAAAAAAAAATTACACAGGTTAAGTAAAATATATTAAGCTTTTTTACTTCATAATTTTACATTATTAATTTTCATATTTAGTAAATTTATTAAAATTATTAGCAAAAAAAAATCCTAACTACAAAATTAGGATAATAGTCACAGCCTGTTTTTTTATGGAGCAAAATTTTTTTTATTAAGTCCTAAGCAACTGCAACACCCAGTCTCTTGGCCACGGAAGCCAGTCTTTCCTTGTTTTGGAACAACTGCCTGAAGAGAGACAATTGTTTACGCATCGTATCATTTTCTTCTCTCAGTTGTTTAGACTCTTCCACTACTTCACTCAGCGAGATGCATCTCCCGAGGCTAGGAGAAAAAGCCTGGAGCTGTTCTTGAATGGCTTGTAATGCTTCTGGATTTATCTGGGGCGCAAAGTTGTTCTGTTGGAGAGGCTGTTGCTGTGCTACAGCAACCTGGGGCAATGTGATGGTTTGTGGAAGTAGGTTTTGTAGCTGTGCTACTACAACCTTGGGTACTGTGCTGGTATGTGGAAGTAGGTTTTGTATCTGTGTCATTGCTGCCTGGGGTGTTGGTCTGGCCTGTTGAACTTGGTTTTGAGAGACGGATGGTAATTGTACCATGAATACCTGGTATGCAGGTGTGGTCTGCTGGGATTGGTTTTGTTGTACCAGTAGCACCTGAGGTGCTGAAGTCGTCTGCTGAAGGGGGTTCTGTGCCACGATCACCCGAGGTGCTGGATTGATCTGGAGGTGGTTCTGTTCGACCACTTGAGGTGTTGGCCTAGTCTGCTGAAGGTTCTGTAACCCAGCTTGTATCACTGGTACAGAGGATAATTGATTCATCTGGCTCTTAGAGAAGACCTCATCAGGCTTGCTAATCTTGGAGCCTGAGTAAGTCTCGTCGTCTGGGAAAGCCTGAGATCTGGGTCGCTTTCGCTGACCACTGGCAACTTCTGCTGGGTGAACCGTTGTTTGTTGCTCATGCTGGGTACTTGTTCCGAGGCGAGGATTGCGCAGAGAGTCAACGGGTAATTCACCCGGCGGGCGAAGCAGCGCCGGAGGAAGGTTTCTAGGCATAGGAACCGAGGCAGCTAGACTTGACACTCGGGATAGGTCGCATAGAACGCTGTCTTGAGGGTTTCCTCTGCCACTGCCTGTCACTCGGACCAGAGAACGTGCCAAGATGCCAGCGGAATAAGGAGGAGCCATGTTGGACGTGGGATGGGGGGGGGATGTAGTTAAGATGAAAGAATTTGTTTTCAAATAATTCCTTGGAGACCTAGTATCTTAGCTTATACCTTTGTGTTTACACAAGGGCGAGTATCTCACGGTGGGTGTATATACGTTAAAAGGAGTAGGCACCACAGAGGTATCGTGTGAGAAAACGAATGTAATTGTCTCGGGCAGTTGAAGCAAGAGTTGCGTAACTTGGTAGAAATATAGTATGAAATGTCGTGTGTAGAATGCCTGTACGTGGTGGGTGCTGAAGTTAACAATTAAGTAGCAATCTTAGTGGTGGAGTGGAAAGCGTTTAACCACTTAGGAAATAACCCTAAATGGTTGTATGGTGAGAAATGAGTGGGTTACCACTTAGGAAAATGACCCTGAATGGTTGTGTAGTGTATAATGAGTGGACCACCACTTAGAAAATGCTCCTAAATGGTTATGTAGTGGATAGTGAGTGGGGTCACCACTTGGGAAATGCTCCTAAATGGTTGTGTGGTGGATAGTGAATGGGGTCACCGCTTAGGAAATGCTCCTAAATGGTTGTGTAGTGGATAGTGAATGGGGTCACCACTTAGGAAATGCTCCTAAATGGTTGTGTAGCAGATACTGAGTGGGGTCACCACTTAGGAAGTGCTCCTAAATGGTTGTGTAGTGGATATTGAGTGGGGTCACCACTTAGGAAATGCTCCTAAATGGTTGTGTATTGGATATTGAGTGGGGCCACCACTTAGGAAATGCTCCTAAATGGTTGTGTAGTGGGTATTGAGTGGGGTCACCACTTAGGAAATGCTCCTAAATGGTTGTGTAGTGGATATTGAGTGGAGTTACCACTTAGGAAATGCTCCTAAATGGTTGTGTAGTGGATATTGAGTGGGGTTACCACTTAGGAAATGCTCCTAAATGGTTGTGTAGTGGATATTGAGTGGGGTCACCACTTAGGAAATGCTCCTAAATGGTTGTGTAGTGGATATTGAGTGGGGTCACCACTTAGGAAATGCTCCTAAATGGTTGTGTAGTGGATATTGAGTGGGGTCACCACTTAGGAAATGCTCCTAAATGGTTGTGTAGTGAATATTGAGTGGGGTCACCACTTAGGAAATGCTCCTAAATGGTTGTGTAGTGGATATTGAGTGGGGTCACCACTTAGGAAATGCTCCTAAATGGTTGTGTAGTGGATATTGAGTGGGGTCACCACTTAGGAAATGCTCCTAAATGGTTGTGTAGTGGATATTGAGTGGGCTCACCACTTAGGAAATGCTCCTAAATGGTTGTGTAGTGGGTATTGAGTGGGGTCACCACTTAGGAAATGCTCCTAAATGGTTATGTAGTGGATATTGAGTGGAGTTACCACTTAGGAAATGCTCCTAAATGGCTGTGTAGTGGATATTGAGTGGGGTTACCACTTAGGAAATGCTCCTAAATGGTTGTGTAGTGGATATTGAGTGGGGTCACCACTTAGGAAATGCTCCTAAATGGTTGTGTAGTGGATATTGAGTGGGGTCACCACTTAGGAAATGCTCCTAAATGGTTGTGTAGTGGATATTGAGTGGGGTCACCACTTAGGAAATGCTCCTAAATGGTTGTGTAGTGGATATTGAGTGGGGCCACCACTTAGGAAATGCTCCTAAATGGTTGTGTAGTGGGTATTGAGTGCGGTCACCACTTAGGAAATGCTCCTAAATGGTTGTGTAGTGGATATTGAGTGGGGTTACCACTTAGGAAATGCTCCTAAATGGTTGTGTAGTGGATATTGAGTGGGGTCACCACTTAGGAAATGCTCCTAAATGGTTGTGTAGTGGATATTGAGTGGGGTCACCACTTAGGAAATGCTCCTAAATGGTTGTGTAGTGGATATTGAGTGGGGTTACCACTTAGGAAATGCTCCTAAATGGTTGTGTAGTGGATATTGAGTGGGGTCACCACTTAGGAAATGCTCCTAAATGGTTGTGTAGTGGATATTGAGTGGGGTCACCACTTAGGAAATGCTCCTAAATGGTTGTGTAGTGGGTATTGAGTGGGGTCACCACTTAGGAAATGCTCCTAAATGGTTGTGTAGTGGATATTGAGTGGGGTTACCACTTAGGAAATGCTCCTAAATGGTTATGTAGTGATTACTGAGTGGGTTACAACTAAGGAAATGATGCTCCTAAATGGTTGTGTAGCGGATACTGGGTAGATGGATTACCACATAGGAAATATTCCGAAATGATTGTGTAGTGGGTGAGTCACCACTTTGGGAAATAATCGCTAATGGTTGTGTAATTGAACTTTTTGATCTGTTACCCCTTTTGAAAGTAATACTTAGTTGAGTAGTGAGTAGAAGAGAGATGACTAGTGGTTATTAACAACATATTACTTCGTAAGTAGAAACTGTGTAGTGTTAAACTGGTCTTGGTTGACTAGTAGAACATGGCGTGTGTTCATCAGTGTGTAAGTACTTCTTTGTATAGGAGGGGAGGGAGGAAGAAATGAGGGAAAAAGGGGGAAGGAGGAAATACAGGAAATGACTCTCGAATTCTGTTGGCGTGATCACAGGCGATGTAAACTTGTCCCTGCAACGAACAAATACAAAAATTAATAACGTTGTTTTAATTGCTTAATGTAAAAAAAAATCTTATACATTAATTAAAAAAGTATTTTAAACTAATGTATTTCATTATAATTTTGGTTTAATATCCGAGTCCATGGACTCGGTTATTTTATTATTGATACTTAAAATTTTTATTTTCAATATTAATTTATTTTATTGTTAAATATGAATGCACGTTAATTAAAATTATTATAGAAAAGCACTAAATCAATGACGGCTTTACTGATGTGATCTAAATAAATACAAAATTATTAAGATTTACCCAAAAATTAACAGGGCAGTGTGTTTAGAGACACTTCAGCAAACACCAGGTCATATTAGAAGACGTTTCGGTCCTGGGACCTGATCAAGGTCCCAGGACCGAAATTTTTTCTAATAAATATGTCCAAAGTGTTTGCTCAAGTTTCTTTCTAAATCAGTTTATCTGTATTAATCACCAAGGTTTATACCAGGACAGTGTGTTTAACTTAAGTTTGTAGTCCTCTTAGAAGGATTAAAATTTGAAAACTGCACATCTTCCCTGATCTTTGACTTTCTTCAGAGTAGAGCAAATCTCTCTCACACATGTTAGTAGCAGATGGTAAAATATACGTATACGTATATTTACACAGACGCATGAGGTGATGAATATCCTGGCATTTCGACTGTTCATGGTAAGATTGCGCAAACAGTTGAGCTAGTCATTGCGATGAGAGAGTTCGTTTTCTGTTTCAGAATGTCAAAACGTTTTGTACGTAAGATGTGCCTGCTAGCCTTTCAAGGGGTAGGGGGGGGGGTGCTCTATACTGGTTAAGTTAGGCAAGATTCATCAGTAAACAGAACGTAAGACTACAAAGGAGCACTGCAGCAGGCCTACTGGCCCATGTGATAAATATCCCAAGTCGCACCCACTCGTGTACTTGTCTAACCTGTTTTTAGATTCCCAAGGTTTTCGCTTCAGTGATGCTACTCTGTTCCACTCATCTATGACTTACCAAACTAGTGCTTTCTTATTTCCTAAATCTAGTTTTTTCCCACTTGAACCCATTGCTGTGAGTCCTGTCTTGATTAGACATTTTTAGC